GATATCGATCAGGATGTTCAGAATTGGCATCGGGTCGCAAACGAAAGGGTCCAGGGAGGTTGGGCGTGCCGGACGCTGATTTACTCCGTGGGAGGGTTGAAACGACCGTCCGCCGCCGTCCAACCGCCGTCAACGAACATGAGCGAACCGGTCGTGTAGGAACTGGCTTCAGATGCCAGGTAGAGTACGGCTCCCGCGATTTCTTCCGGCCTGGCCCATCGCCCGAGCATGGTCTTGTCCGCATAGGCCCCGTACCAGTCCGGATATCGTTTGATCTGGGCGGTCAGTGGCGTGTCTACGACACCGGGCGCTATGGCGTTGGCCCGAATCCCCTTGTCGGCGAGTTCGGCCGCCAGTGCGCGAATCATGAGGACTACGCCGGACTTGGTCGCGGCGTAGACGCCCTGTCCCGGCTCTACCACCTGGGCCCTGATGCTTGAAAAAACGATGATGCTGCCCCCGTTGTGTTCGGTCATCGTCCGGGCGACTTCGCGCAACAGGCGGAATGTACCCTTCAGGTTGAGATCGACGACCCGGTCGTATTCTTCGTCGGTGTATTCCAGGAGCGGTTTTCGTATGTTGACGCCTGGCGTGCTGACCAGCACGTCGGGAGGGCTGATCCGGCCAAGCACCCGTTCGATCTGGCTGGTATGGCGCATATCGAGTTGTACGGCTTCAGCGGAGCCGAGGTGCGCCTGGATCTCGCCTGCGACGGATGCCGCCGCTTCCTCCTGTAAGTCGGCGCAGACCACGTGGGCGCCGAACTGTGCCAGGCACATGGCCGAGCACCGGCCGATACCGCTGCCGGCGCCGACGACCAGCGCGTTTCGGTCCGTCATATCAAAGAGGTTTTTGTAGTCGAACATGGAAGGGTCCCGGGTGCCGTGTTTTACATTCTATCTTAGATTCCAGCGTTGCCCCTGTCAAGTTGATAGCTAAGAGATTTGCCGCGAGATGCGCGGGAGGAAGGGCATGACCGGAAGACTGCTCATTATTGCGAATCCGAAATCTGGAAACGGACGCGGCCTGCTATGCGCGGAACAGGCGAAGGAGTTGTTGACCGCCAATAACGTGCCGGTCGAGGTCCGTCCTACCACGGCTCGGGGCGAGGCGGAGTCCATCGCGTCGGATGCCGTGGAATCCGGTTATTCCTGTGTCACCGCCTGTGGAGGCGACGGTACCGTGCACGAAATCGTAAACGCGCTCGCGGGTACGGATGTCGCCCTCGGTATCCTCCCCTGCGGCCGCGGCAACGACTTCGCCCGGGCTGTGGGGATTCCGCCTACCCCAGATAGGGCGGCGGACGTCCTTCTGCAGGACCATAGGAAGTCCTACGACCTGGGAAAGGTGAATGATCGGTATTTCGCAACGGTCGCGACGCTGGGATTCGATTCGGAAGTGGCCAGGCTGGTGTATGACGGCGCGGTGCCTTTCAAGGGTATGACGGCCTATCTCTGGGGATTGGCGCGCATGTTGCGTGTCTATCGCGGCGTCGGACTGCGCATGACTGGTGACTTCGGCACCATCAACCAGACGGTTTTGCTCGCGGCTACCGGGAACACCTCCACTTACGGCGGCGGGATCAAGATCGTGCCGAACGCCAGTCCGACAGACGGAGAACTCGATATCTGCCTGGTTCGTATGATGAGCGCGGGCCGTATTCTGCGTGTGTTTCCGAGGGTTTACTGGGGCGGCCATCTGAGCCACCCCAGTATCTTTTCGTACAGAACGGGCAGGTTGAAACTGGAAACGGAAGAGCCGGTGGTCCTGTTCGCCGACGGCGAACCCGTGGGCGAGACACCCGCGGAGATCGTCTCGGCGCCTGGCGCGCTGTCGGTAGTGTGCCCGGCCCAGGAAGCCTGACCGGCCTGTTACTCCCTGCTTCTGTAAAGCCGGGAATACATGAAAGCGCCCACGATACCGTCGTTATCCCTGGTGTAACCCTTGAGATTCGACTTGCGTAACTGGAGCGTGAGGGGATGGAAAATAAAGGCGGCGGCGTAATCTGAAACGAGGATCTCTTCTGCCTGCCGGTATAGCCGCGTCCGGCTTGCCGGGTCCAACTCCGATCCCGCCCTTTCCACCAGCATGTCGAATTCGGGGTTCGCCCAGTCGTGCCGCCCCGCGCCCTTCGGTTGCGAGTGCCAGGTCATGTCGAGCATGTTGCGGGGATCCACATAGTCGGCGACGAAGCGAATAAACCCGAAATCCATTTCCCAGTTGTACAGCTTGTTCATGTAAGCTGATCTGTCCAGGGTCTGTATGGGTGATTTGGATCCCCAGGTGTTCCAACAACATGCTTTGAATGGCCACGCCCGCCATTTTCATGGAAGGCGTCGGTGCGCGAATCCACATCTCCGGCCTGGGAAACCCCCGTCCGTTTGGATAGCCGGCCTCCCTCATCAGGGCCTTCGCCCGTTGCGGGTCGAACGCCTGGTATGCTTTCATGGCCTCGCCGTTGTATTCCTTAAAGTCCGGCGGCATCATGGAATAGGCCGGCGCCGCCGCGCCTCTCAGGACCACCCGGCTAATAGCGTCCCGGTCCACCGCCCTGGCGAACGCCTCGCGTACACGAATGTCGTTGAAAGGCGGTTCGGCCATCTTGAAGAACAGGTACCAGGTCGTTCTACCCGGTGTTTTAACGAGTTCCCGGCTGAGTACTGGATGGCGTTCGATGCGGTCCATGTCGTTGATATCGACCGTTTCAACGTCTACCTCGTCGTTCTCGTAGGCCAGGACGGTCTGCGCCGCGGCGTACCGGAAGGGATGGATTACTTTCTCCAGCAGCGGCTTGTGCGGACCGTTGTACATGGGGTCAGGGACGAAGGTCATGTGGCTTCCGGTTACCCATTCGGACATCCTGAAGCCGGAGTTCGACACGATGTTCTCGACCTCGGTCCATTTCCGTCCGTATTTTTCCACGGCCCAGCGCGGAGTAGGATAGGCCAGGCCGAAGGATACCACGTGGGGGAAGTGAGGCGCGCTGCGCTCCATGACCACTCGTAGTGTAAGATCGTCCACGGGCCCGGACACCGAGTTGTTCCAGGTCCGTGATTTCGCCCAGGCTGATGCCCTTGGCGTTTTTGATGTCATAGTAAAAGAAGGCATAGGGGTTGGCGTTGGCGGGATCGAGCATCCGCCTGAACGCATATACGAAATCATGGGCGCGTCGGTTACAGGCTCCGTCGTTCCACGTCACCGGGCAGCCGTGACGCAGATTAATCTCCATGTTTCCAGTCCGTAGCATCATACAAAACATCGGAGCATCGTAATGGGTGGCCGCGGCCGGTATGGGCTGCCAGTATTCGTCCCTGATGAGCAGGGTTTCGAATTGGAGCAGGGTGGACTCGCCGTCGTAGAGGTTGATCTGGACGCTCAGGCTGCGCGCCGCCTCCGCGACTCATGCACGCGTTTGAACACGAATGCCTGCTGGTCAAGGGCGCCGCATCCGGTGGAAGGACGACGCCAATCGAGTTCGTAGAACTGGCGGAACTGGCCCTGTTGGTCGCGGCTGCCATGCAGTACATGCTCGAGGGGCGAGCAAAAAGACTGGAACGATTCCGCGCAATGGAAACCCCTTTGACAGGCTGAACTTTGCATGGTATGAAGCTTAGTTGACGGGTCATATCAGAGTCCGGTTCGGCGAGAGATTCAAGAGATAGTCCTATGTCGACCGTATTTGCTTGACATACTCTATCCCGGAGACTACTTGATAAACTGCGGTTATTCTACGATCAGAGATATCCTTCGAGTCATGCCATGCTGTCCAACAATCCCATTACCTTCGACCGTGTGATTCGTATCGCCATCGGGGTGGCGGTGATCTGGCTTGATTAGCCACCCCATCGCCTTATTGACAGGCTCGAGCGACGTACTCATTCCATTTGCAGTCGCGCTGCTGCTTGCCTACCTGATCAACCCGTTGACTTCCTGGTTGCGACGCGCGAATCATGTCCCGTAAGGCCGGATCGTTTCCGTCTGCTGAGGCCTGACGATCATCTGCAGGCGCAGTGGCCCCTGTGTTCCTCGTCCATATCCTAGATTCCTCCCATGGTCGTGGCCGAAATCGCACAGATGCGCACATTGCTTTCGGGACTGGTGAGCGCGGATCAGTTGCAGGAGAGGCTGCAAGCCTACCTGCCCCCGGAAATCAGGATGTATATCGCGGACCTGGTCAGGATCGAAGAGCTTGTTCAACTGCTGAACTTCGAGAACATCAGGGTTTTCTTTCAGCAGATCCTTCCTGGTGCGTGGGGCGTGTTTTCGGGAACCATCAGCTTCGTGATCGGCCTCGCCGGCATAATCATCATCCTGCTTTACCTGGTCTTCATTCTACTGGACTTCGACGAGATATCCGAGGGATGGAAAGATCTGATCCTCACGCACCACTAGCAAGCGGATGAAGTGCTCGGACTGGTGTCGGGATTACGACGGCCATGCGCGTCTATTTCCGCGCCCAGGCCCTGATCGCCTTCATCGTGGGACTACTCTTCGCGCTGGGCTTCTGGTTGATCGGACTGCCAATGGGGATACTGCTGGGTCTGTTCGTCGGTCTGCTCAACATGGTTCCGCCATACTGTCAGGTCGTCGAGTATATCCGCGCGCGTGTTGCTTTCACTCATGGCCTCGCTGGGCGCGGGTGAAAGCGGGTGAATGAAAGTATCTGGGTCATGCTCGTTCTCGTTATTGCCGTGTTCGCCGTGGTACAGATCATTCAGGACGCCGTACTTGTACCAGGATCATGGGCAAGGTAACCGGGTTCAACCCGGCCGTGATCCTCCTGTCCCTGTCCATCTGGGGCAAACTGCTCGGCATCCTCGGGCTTCTTATCGCCCTCCCGGTGACGTTCTTGATCCATTCGTACTACAGAAGGTTTCTTAAACGATCCCTCGCGGAGAATAAGCCGTCTTAACCCTGGAGCGACCCGGCGGCCCCTTGGAAGGAGTCGCCTTGCCGGTTCAACGCGGCGTTAGTCGTAGAAGACAAACAAGGAGCGGTTAATGGATAGGATTTCCTGGGACGAATACTTCCTTCGCATCGCTTACGCCGTTTCCGCGCGTTCAAACTGCGTTCGCCGCCAGATCGGCGCCGTTATCGTGAACGACAAGATCATTACCAGCACGGGCTACAATGGTACGCCCATGGGCATACCCAATTGCTTCGACGGTGGGTGCAAACGATGCAATTCGGACGGGCCTTCCGGGGCGAACCTGGACGAATGTATCTGTATACACGCCGAGGAGAACGCCATCGTTTTTGCTGCCCGGCACGGCTCGTCGACAAGCGGCGCGACGATATACACGACCAACAAACCCTGCCTGGGTTGTCTGAAGAAGTCCATACAGGCGGGTATCAGGCGGGTTGTCTATGCCGAACAATACGCCTACACGAAATCCGTTGAAGAAGTGTATAACTGGCTGGTGGAAGAATCCGGAATCGAGATGTCGAACATAGTTCGTAAACTGATCGCCCACATGAAGTGGATCGCCAGCCGGAAACACTGGTTCATACCGCCTGAGATCGGTCAAATTTCGCTTGACGCCTGTCCAGCGAACCGGGCAGTTTAAAATGCTCGAACTCAAGTACGATCATTACCCTGTTCCACGCTTGAGAGTAGCCGATTTGGTCATACCAACCTACGATGCGAACGCATAGCGCAATCGGACTTCGTCTATCGCAGGCTATCGGGCTCGGAAACTGACATCCAGTCGTTTGCCGACACGTATCCCGATTACCATCCCCAGGACCGGGTGGGATTGGTTTCCACCCCGGCTGGAAGACGGTATTTTCGGAGCGGCTGCCGCGGTCCTGAGCCTGGCGACCGGGTTCTATGATTGCCTTCGATCTAAAGCGGAACCTTTTTTTAATTATCCCCAGCACCTGGTCTGCACTGTGCCGCGACAGGGTCGAGCGTCCTGACGCGCAAAGGGGACTTCAACCTGACCGTGGAAGAATTGGGAGGACCCTGGGGATGGCTGGACGTCTGGCCGGAGACCAACTGGCATCTCTGTCCGGCAACGCCGGTGAGCATGCTCGACGCCGTATATCGACACCAGGTCAACCGGGTATTCTGGCCGGCCTCATTCCAGCCGGAAGTGGTGGATAGGCCGCTTAAGGATTACGCACGCAGGCTGCTGAGCAGCAGGTTGAAATCCGTATGGTATTACGACAGTCCGGAAGCGGACGTGGAAGTCCGGGCTTCGGAGCCTGCCGCGGACATCATCAGGGAAAGCCTGGAACGGCTTTCCCGCCTTGGCCTGGACGAAACGAGCAGGGAGGAGATCGCTTCCCATCAGTGGAGTAACAACCGTTTCAAAGCAGTAGAACCCGAAGCGTTTCTTAAAGATATGGAGATCTGCTTTACCGATGGGTGAAAGGTGAAATCAGGTCGTAATCGAGTTTCGAACGAACCGCAGAAGGCTTGTCATGACGGCCGTCATGGCTGGCCGCTATGCAAAAAAGGAGCGGTGACTCATGGTGGACAGATCCTACCTTTTCGACGATGACGCCATGCGCGACTTTATCGTAAACGGCTATCACGTGATCAACGTGGATCAGCCGGTTGCGCTGCACGATGACATTTACACGAAAACGAAGGCGATCATCGACGAAGACGGCAATCCGGGAAACAACCTGTTGCCTCGTGTGCCCGAGATCCAACAGGTCTACGACGATCCCTCGGTTCAAGGCGCATTGACGAGCCTTCTCGGACTGGATTACGTCATGCATGCCCACCGCCACCCGCACGTGAATCCACCCCACAGCCGGGGAGGTAACTGGCACAAGGACAGCTACTGGGGTTACACCAAGGTGCGGGATCACCATCCGCGCTGGATCATGGCGATACTATCCCCAGACACCCGGTGGTGGAAATCGGACCAACAGGGGTGATACCGGGTAGTCAATACGTCGAATCCCGAGAAGAGACCATAGGCGAGAACGGGTCCGGCCCCGAAGGCTTACCCGCCTGCGGAAAGGCGGGAACCGTCACCATTATTCACTTCGACATATGGCACCGGGCCTTCCCGAACGAATTGGATAAAGTCCGTTACATGATGAAGTTTCAGTTTACGAGGATGTCGGAACCGGATCAACCCTGCTGACGAACCAGGAAATGCGAAGAAATTCCGACCGGGAGAGACCAGCGGAACATCCCCAGAGCCGTAGGTGGAGGAACATGTGTGGCACTGGTATTTCCGGGGAAACGGGGTCGGCCGGGAGCAGACAGGGAGGCGAGGAACACGTCGAAGCGCTCGCCGGAGACCTGACCCATGAACTCGAACAGAAGCGCCTTCACGCGGCGTATACCATCGCGGAATACGGTGAACCCGCGTTGCCCCATCTCCTGGACGCGTTGCAGCACGATGAAGACGAAATCCGGCGTGAAGCTTGCTACGGTTTAGGCGCCCTGGGCCCGGCGGCCGTTTCGATCCGCAGGTTTCCCTGCTGGGACACGGAACGACGCGCTGCGCGATGGGGATACGCGGTTTACGCCCTTGGGGACATCCGGCACCACAGCCCATCGGTAGCGGAGCACCTGGCGGGTCTTTCAGACGACACCTCGCCTTTTGTCCGTCAGAACGTGGCCGATGCCCTGGGCCAGATCAAGCTGGCCGCGGATTCGACCGTTCCCGCGCTGATCGGTTTGATGAAGGACGAGGATGAGCAGGTGCGGTCCAGAACCGCCTATGCGCTGGCCCGATTCGGGGACGAGGCTCAGGTGGCCATTCAAGATCTCGCGGACGCGTGCTACGATGAAAACAGGTACGTACAGGGCCATGCCGCCGTCGCCCTCGAACAGATCGGCACGCCGGAAGCCCTGAGCACGCTGCTGCACTGGCTGCAGGCCTCGCGGTGGTGTCCGCTGACGACCAAAAAGAGCACGTTCTAGCGGTTGGGTTTCAGTCGTCATCCATCCATGGCGTTTCTGACCGTACGGTAGGAGCCTTACTCCAACTACCAGTCGTGCATCATGTGCCCCTGGCCTGGATAGAACAGGGCGTCCACGATGAATGACAGCACGATGCCGGTCGTGTATCCGATCAGTAAACCAAGGAAAAACCGCTGGCCCGTGCGGTAGGCGTTCGTTCCGACCTTCAACAGTAAGAACTTGACGAGCCAGGCGAGAAAGACGGACAGGATCGAATCTCGTATATTGCTGGCAAGACGCGGCAAAGCGAAGACGCACGACGAGGTGCGCGACTCACCAGATCAGCCAGTGCCTCAGTTTGAGCAGGACCAGGAAGATCACCGCGCCGGCCGCCCCATGAACCACGGTTCACTTTGCCCAAGGGAAAGCGGGTTCTTCATCCAGGTAACGATCTCGTCGTAGTAGGCCTTGTTGAGCCCGTTAAAAGCGCCTCCCCCGAAGTTGTACGCCCCGGTTGAGTACCCCGCGTATATCGAATAGGCAACGGCCGTGGTCATGCTGACCAGAAAGGTGGCCGCGAGCACGAGAAGCAGCTTGTCTTCGGTCCGGGGCAGAATCGTCGGTCAATCGATCGGCCAGTACGACCGAACCCATCCCCAGGCCGCGCCAGTTCCTTGCGAAGGCGCTCGTCAGCCCCAGTCTGACAAC